CAGTTAATAAAGCTGCATAAAGAAAGCTAGTTTATTTCTGGATGGTAGAGTTAGATCCAAGGTTGAGATTTGTGAGATATTGGATCGAACTCTAGTTAGCATGTCGTCGAAGTTTGCTCACATGCTGTTGTCGAAGACTTACATGCTGTAGTCGAATTGTGTTCTAGTATGTAGTTGTCAAATTGGGCCTTGTGTTAAGGATTTAACTATTTAAGCTAGTTTGTACTGAAGGTGAGAAAATACTTAGAAGGGGGGTTGAATAAGTATGAAAGATAAAACTTAGAAGTAAAAACTCAAGTATTTTTATCCTGGTTCATTGAACTCAACTACTCCAGTCCACCCTATCTAGAGTGATTTGCCTTTCTCAAACAAGGACTTAATACACTATTTAATCAACTGATTACAATAGTAAGCACTAAGAACAACTGTTCAAAGTCTTCTCAAGAACTACTGATCCCAACTGGATCTTCTTAAGGAACTATTACAATAAAATGTAAGATTAATACAAGTGTATGAATGCTTCTAACAAGCTTTATCACAACAGTGATTTTTCACTTAATGTTAAGAACAAAAGAATAAACTCACCAATAAGAATATTTTATGAGAGCTTGTAAGAGTTTCTATTAAAGATTCGTTGGTTCTTAATCACTACTGAAGAAGATGATGAAGACTTGCTTTTATATGCACAGTAGTCCACAAAGTCTTGACGTTGGAGGTTGTGTACTGAAAAAGGCCTGAACCTTTTTGTCTTTACATCACATGACCTTTCCTGGAAGTAGAATGCACAGAGAAATGCTTTTGGTCTGTGTTCTAGTGTCAAGCATGAAAGAGGAAAGAGTCGTTGAGCCAAATCAAAAGATGTTACTTTGAATTCTTCTTCAATAAGTATTTCTTTTCAGCAAAGTTAACCATCAGATTTTGCATGATCAGAGTCTTGGATGCCCATCAGATTTTGCTGAATCAGAGTAATGCAGCAAGTGTGCTTTAGCGTGTAGTTCTATCAAAGCAGAGTTTTATGAATCAGATCCTCAGTACATACAACATGCAGTACTCTCAGAGTCTTCTGAAAAACTGTGCTTCTTAACTCTCATACAAAGTTCTTAAATGCTTTAGAGTCTTCAGATCTATTAGAGTCTTCTGCTTCAGATCCTTCTGCAGCTTCTGCTTCAGATTCTTCTGTAGCTTCTGCTTCAGATCCTTCTGCAGACAGCACTCAGATTATTCTATAAGATGATTCTGACTCTTCAGAGCCTTCCATAGTTCTATGTTCAGATTAATTTGCTCTTGGATGTATATATACTTTAATTATCTGCAGCAAATATTCATGAACCAATTTTAGAGTATATAATTCTTTAATACAAAATTCCATAAGAGTTATCATCAAAACATTGAGATATTACTAAGAAACAATATGTGTTCTTACATGTACCCTAAGTTAGCTTGTAATGGATAATTGTTAAAAAGCTCATTAGTTTAGTATGTTAGGTTTTATTATAAATAGCATACTAGTCTCTCATCTTAGGTGTGTTGTGACAAAACCTAATTAGGGTGAGAGAGTTATTTGTTATTCTTGAGTATTTGTAATATGTTTTATAGAGAAAGTAAAGAATAGAAGTTATAACAAATCCTTGTTTTTATCCTTGTTTTTTCTTAACCTTAACCCTTGTGTGTTTCTTGATCATAAAGAAACCGAGTATATTTTGTTTTAAGGCATCCTAATTCACAACAGATATGTTAACCAAAGGGAAGTTGTCACTTTTCCTATCGATTGATTTTAATACCCTAGGTGATACTTGAATATTTAATTTATGGAAAGTTTTTACCTCGGTTGGGAGTTTCAAGCTAGAGAAAATCTCTTGTTTTTTTGAAATATAATTTGTGTTTTGCATAATTTTATTTTTAACCTTTATTTTTATTTTACTTATGAAATAAAACCTATAATATACACATTTTTTAAAACATAACCAAATGGAACATTTGTGAAACAAAAATATATATAAATTATATACCAAAATACATTGTTTACACCAAATACACCAAAATGACACACATATTTTTTTTTATAACAAATGGTTAACAAACAAGGCAACGATCAAAATGGTTAGCATGCTTGTAAATCAAAATACTCTAGGAAGCAAGAGACTCAACGTGAACAAACGTCTTTTATATCTTTTTTAGTGAACAATGTATGGTCATTAAACACTTATAATTTGAACAAAATGAAAATTAGGATAACACAACAACAACACCATTATAACTTTAATATCTACAACAATAACAACATTAAATATTTTACTAGTTAACAACAAAAATATTAACTTGGCTTACAATAACAAAACAACAAATTTAAAACTTTTACTTAACAATTAACATAAATAAGTAACATGCATAAGAATAAAGTGATTACCTCCTTCTATGAATAAAAAATGCTAACAGATACAATGTCAAACATGTGTTCTATCACATAGTATTCACGCTCATATCTTTTTTCTTTTTTTTTAGCATCGTATACAAATAAATTTTATATAGTGGTTAATACACACAAAAACCACAACTACTACATTATCAAAAATAAAATAACATCACAAATAATTTCACCTACTTTAGGGAAAATAAATTTAGCATTTTATTTCTAAAACAACAACACATAATGTATCCCTTTACATCTTTACATGTTGGAAGAAAAATTAAACATTAATAAAAATTATTCAAAAGAAAAGTGAACATTTTAGTATTACAAATAATACCACCTACGCGTAGTTATATCTTTTATCCTTGAACCAAGTTGTTTTCTTAACGAACATAACATAATTATGCTATTTTAATTAGGACAAATAATTATTATTTGTCAATTTCCACTACATGAACATCTAGAATAATTAACAATTGATACAAAATTGAATTATAAATAAGAGAAAACACAAATTCATATATGTACTTGCTAAAAGTACAAATGTATGACAACCTCTAGCGATTAAGGGTTGTCAGAGGCTTTAAGGTTGTTATGATGTTGAGAGGTAGCTCACATGGGGTGAAAAACTATGTATATGTATATTGTATTTATGTGTGTAAGTTAGACTTCTCCTTCTCAATCACAATATAAAGGTATTTATAGTCACACTGAGTTTGGATCTCAGACTTCTTGAAAAATAGCAACCACTCTAAAAATGGGTAGTTGATTCCCTGAATTTTAGGGAACACACTTAGTTCCCACAACTCCTTTAGTGTTATTTTTTACCAAATGTACGTTATCCACATGATCATGTGTTATGGACGGAGTATGGACGGAGATGCAAAAGATTCAGGCGACATATCTGAAAAAAGAGCGCCTTATTCAGAAGATAGGAGCTCAAACTAACAAAGGGGTGACTTAGGAGGAATGATAGGTGAAGTGTATTCCTTTGCCATGTCCTCATGGCCACTTCCAATTACACCACTACACAGTCTCTCAAGCACAAGGGCTAGAAGAGGCCGATGTGTTTTTTCCCTTAGTCATCTTCAAACTTTTCGTAAGAGTCTTATCTAAGATTTATGCGTACCTTTAGTTCTCAAGAATTAGTTGAGTTCCTCAGACGAGACTTAATTGACTCCTTTAGATGAGACTTAGTTGAATCCCTTAGGAGAGACTCAGTCAAGTCTTTCTAATGAGAGTTAGTTGAGTCCCTCATGTGAGACTTAGTCGAGTCTTTCACATGTGACTTAGTCAAGTCCCTTAGGAGAGACTTAGTTGAGTCACTTAGGTGATACTTAGTTTATTCCCTCAATAAATATTTGGTTGATACCCTCAGACGAGACTTAGTTGAGTCCCTCAGACAAGACATAGTCAACTCTTCCTGATGAGACTTAATTGAGTCTCCCGGGTGAGACCTAGTCAAGTCTTCCTAATGAGATTTAGTTGAGTCCCTCTTTGAGGTTGGAAAATATCTATGTAGTGCAATTACTCGTAGGCGTAAAGGATCTTCCTGTAGAAGTTCAATAATTTAATTACCCCATACGACGGTACGGATCTTCCTATGGAAGTCCAACAATTTAATAACTCCTTAGGGTGGCAAGAATCTTTTTGTGGAAGTCTAACAATTTAATTACCTTGTAGGGAGACAATGATATTTCTGTGAAAGTCCAATAGTTTTATTATCCTATAGGACGACAAGGATCTTTTTATGGAAGTCCAACAATTTTATTACCATGTAAGGTGACAAGGATCTTCCTATTGAAGTCAGCCAATTTTATTACCCCATAGGGAGGAAATGATCTTTCTGTAAAAGTTCAACAATTTAGTTACCCTATAAGGCGTCAAAGATCTTCCTATAGATGTACAATTTAATTACCCCGTAGGACAACAAGGATCTTCCTGCAAGTTGAACAATTTAATAACAGTCAAACCATAACAACCTGTTGCAAATATCATAATCTTTTTACAAGAGATTTTATAAATAGGAGACTCGCCTTCTTACCAATCAACTATAATAATATCTCAAATTGATTGAATTCCAATTTCTGAGGAGTAGTCTATCCAACTATAATGATATATTGAAATAGTGTTTGGGTCTATAATGATCCAGAGCTAAAATTAATTTTAGAGGTTGAAAATTGATCATATAATATGTTTACTTATTGAAAGTCAAATAAAGAGAATTTATTATTTATTTTATGTGACTAACACTTTTAAAATAAAAGTGTTCATTAAATCGACTGGATCTCAATTTTCATTAGAAGTGTTTTCTTTCTCATCTCTTTCGCATCATTCTCTTTATCCCTTTGATAAATCAGTTTACACATGATGAGATGATGATAACAACTGAGATCCTTTAAATATTATTTTGAGAACATTTCTTCACCATCAACATTATTTCAGATATATGCATTTATAAAAAAAAACACACAAACATGTTAAAGTGAACTTTCAGATTAAACATGTAGTCTGAAAGTATACTTCTAAGAATGTGTGATTTTTTAAGAAAATGTAGATGGTTGAAAAGTAGCATCTTTATTTACAACTTTTAAGAGTTAGAATCAGTGACATGAACTTGTATCCGATGCCATGAAGTGTTTAATATCCCTCTCAAGTTCCAAATGTCTTCAACTTTTTCTGGTTGAACATTTCCTGCTGAATCCACCTGCAAATCAGCCAAAGGTACATATTATTTCTAACTCTTAAGACAAAAGTTAGAAACATGAAACTTAGCCGAAGAAACATCATATACCGCTTTTGCGATAATCTCAGTGCTTTGTTGAATTTCAGCAGTGACCTCAAATAGCACCCAAGCCCATTTGTCACAGTTTCCATCATCATCTGCTGTGTAAGGAATGTCACTTTTTTGAAACCTTGACGCTTCCATCCAAGTTTTCCCTCCATCAACAGACACATCCACTCTCTCGATTCCTCTACCACCACCTGATGCAGCATATCCACTAATACTCACCTGAAGTTCAGGAATCATGTTAGAATTATGATTTAAGTTCGTGTCTAATGGACTAAACATTAAGGTATAAACTAACCTTTCCTGGTGTTATCGTTATCATGTCTTCTAGAGAACATATAACACACTGCCAAAGTGAAATCAAAAGCATTAGGTACAAAATATTTTGGTCAAAAACCTCATAGAGGAAATACCTGAACAGGGAAATCCATTTGAGGTCGCCTTGATGACCAATTAATGTTTTCCCAATTTACAGACGGAGGAAACATTTTGTAGTCTTTTTGCACGAAAAAGCCCTGACACATGATATTGTTACGGTTGGTTCGGGTACATAGTGAAAATAAATTATTAAAGATATTTTCAGAACTATTTTACATTTATTACACATCAGACCTGGCATTCTTCTGCTATGATATTGATAGCTTCCAGCCATTTAACAGACCGAGCTCCAATGACACCAGGAACAACCACGCGTAACGGATAACCATGATCTCTGTTAAGAGGCTAAGGGAAAGGAACAAGATATTAAACTGAAATTCGAAACTTTTTCTTATAATCAAGTCCAGACGGAGTATTCACTTACTTCTCCATTCATCTCATAAGCAAGTAGAACATCTGCTTCAGGATTTGTCACCTGGCTGAGTGTGATTGATGCCTTGTATGGGCCTCCATTTTCCTCCTTACACTGATCAATGCTTACAAATTCAACATATTTTCCTCCGTATTTAGTCGTGCTCGTCAACTTCGGTATTCCAACAAGTTCAAGAACATCCGTCAATTTGGCACCACCCCAAACCGCTGGAAAAAAATATAATCAAACACCAATTAAAGGTTAGCGCGCATTAGAAGTTAAATTTAGACGTCTCCACAATGCATCGCAACCACAATTGCAGTGTAACCTTAATCGCAACTGCAACTTTAAACCATGCCAAGAATAATGAAAATCTATCCAATCACTGACAATTTCACATGCTGTTGAAAGAATCAAACCCCAAAAATATAAATACTAACCATTCCCAATAGCAGAAACACCCCATCCAACACCCTTAACTGTTTTAGTTTTGCTCATAGCAGTCCTTCTATTTCCTGCACACTGAAACACCACGGAAAAAAAAAATCAAATTCAGTTTCTGAATGCAACACATAAAACCAAAATAATGTGGTTCTTCCATGCAACCCAACCCTATATCATATCTGATAAATAATTACTATTAGTATGAACTTATATCGAACCAACCTGTAGTGTGGCAGTGACATTGTACTTAGGAAGTATTCTGTTATAATCAAATAACAATGTCAGTTTTCTGTTTAAACACGAGTTACTCGAGAACACATATAGTAATCGAATTGAAATATTACTTTGGAGAAACTTTTATATTAATAATATGAGATTTCTGAACCAGTATCAACCTGATATCTTCCATAAAAAGCTGTTTTGGATTTTCTATCAAGCCAGATATTGATACACAGTATCTGCTCTGCCAAACATGTCATGAAAAAAAAGAGGTTACAATTCATTCACAGTGAACAACTTTGACCAAAGTATTATAACTTCACAAGATCAACACATCACATTTCTATGTCATCGACTATCGGTATAGGGCCATGATTTCTCTTGTAGAACAAATCTGCGGGAGTCAAATAGGATGAAATCAAGGCAGAACGTTGTGGCTCGGAATTGAAAGGTTCCTGAGAAGCAACATAAATTACAATGTATATATTCTATAGTAGAACAAATTTGTCAAGAAAAGGAAAAGGGAATTTGAGGTTACCTTGGAGTTAATTTGAAGAGAGTGGTGACGAATAGGTTCTTTGGAATAATCTGAAGGGCCTGTGATTCCTGGCATTGTTGTCAGAAAGAAAACAATTCAGGGTTTGGTTTGAAGATGGTAGTAATAATAACAACCACAGCTTCTTATTTCTACATGAAATTTATAACATGCACCATAGTGCAGGATGATAATGGTGCGTCCCATTTAGACATATATGATGGACACGTGGAGCACTTGCATTATGCTGACGTGTTATTTGGCATTTTTCGTTAACCACTTTCATTCCTTACCATTGGTTTGTGATTGTTTTTTCTGTTTCTTCACTTACACTGCTATCTTTTTCCTTTTCTTATTAGTCTTTAATTTGGTACTACTACTAGTATTAATTTATTAATTGATTAATTTGTATCCCTCAGAAAAAGCAAAGAACCTTGTATCTCCCCGGTTTTGTTGTGTTTGTTCACTTAGTTGTTTTAAGAACCTCGTACCTGACTGCTTTTTCGTCTATGTTCATTTTCTCTCTCTTTTGAAAAAGCATGAGTTTATTAGGATTGCACTTTGAGTGTAAACATACTTTACATAAGTGTCCAATGAAAATTCATCAATTTAATGTCATCCAACAACTAAACTCCATAATTTGAAACTTTTATTAAAAAGAATTAATTCTAATATTAAATTTATTTTTCAATTCACTTTAATTAATTGATGTTCAACTCACTTTTAAATCAAATTACTTTTATTATTTGATTCATAATCAATTTTACACACGTAAATCCAAACACCCTTGATAACTTAACATGGAAAGCCCATTTGTTAAGTTTATATAAATCGTAACAGATCAAATCAATCACTTATTATTTATTATTTCATACAAAGTTTATACAGGGTACAACACTTGAACCTTTTAATCATGAAATTTAAATAGATGAGTTTCTAACTTGTCTGATGATTAATATCTTCTAGAATATACAAGTAATTCTTTGTTTTTATAGGGCAGGTGTTTCGAGTAAAAACACAGTCCCTTTTATAGTCAAAATTCTACTTACAGCTTGACCAATAAAGTAACAATCAAAATGAATATACATGTATAGATTTACTGATCTGCAGTTTTAGTATGAGGTGGTAGTTTTGCAGCAGCTGAAGATCCAAAATAAGTTAAACTTATTGTTTTCCAGAACCTTTCACCATTGCTACATTAAAGGCAAATAAAAAACAGTGAGAAATGAAATTGCTATCTAGTACAAGTACTCCCAATGATAATGCATACTGGTATCAAACAAATGAACATCGAATCTTATACAAGTACAAGGCAGAGCTTTTCTAAGACAAACATTACTTACATGCATGACTTCTTAAGTACTTCCTGAACCAAGCACAGAGGCAAGTAGGAAACTGTAATATAACTGCTACTGATATGAATAGGATGTTAACTTTGTTTTTGTTGGTGCTTAAGTGTATGTGATTGGTCCCGCATTAACTGTAAAAGAGGTAAGTAAATATATATAACTAACGAGACTCATATACTTTGATGTCTTAAGGTTTTTGGTGAAAATGTGGTTTCAAGGTTTTTTGGACGTCCTGATCTTTAAATCATTGTTGTTTTCGGTACTACCCCAACTCCCCAACAAGTGGTATCAGAGCCCTGATTCAACTTCATAGGGGAGTGGAATGGATCTAGGGGTAATGGATCCCTTTATCAAAAGTCTTAGGAAGAGATTTGGGTCCTAATCATTATTCAGTTGTTGCTCGTATGCCCTCAGACTCCCCAACAATTTTTTTATAATCAACCACATTTTATTTGCACTATCTTCAAGTTCAAACATGTACTATACTTACCAATGACTAAACAAACAAATGAATGATTATTGTCGGATATATTAGCAATATTGTCTTAGATAAAGCAGACACAAAACAAACAATTGTAGAGCTTTAACAAACTAACCATGAACAGCCTTGAGCTGTAGTGCATTTGAACAATGTGTGCACAGCTACAACTTTTGTTGTTGGGATCTGATAGGTATTCCACGTTTCAAAAGAGATCTGTAAGCTGAACTTCTTGACCACTCATCAATTTCATTAGCCCGTAGAACAGGCAGAGGATGTGAAAGTTGCCTTGTTTGAGCATTCCTAATCAACAGAAAAAGTTCAGCTTCTAAACGAAAAAATGTCGAAATTTAACTTTATTGAGGTGCCAGAGATATTACTACATACCTTATGTACCATCCAACAGGGTTGGAAGCAGCTTTTTCATAAGATCGAGCTTGCTCTAGGAATGCATCAACATTTAGTTGATCAGCCAAAGATGGGCATCCACCGGCTAATTTCATGAGCACAGAGATGACAACCTTTTGTACAGTTAAGAAATGAATATTTATAATTTAAACAACAAATTTAACATAAGGTTCTGATTAAACCAATGTATAGATAATTTATAAATTTTGACATGAGCATACTTTAGGGTCTTGAGCAACGAGAAGAGCTGCACGATCACAAGTTAACTCAGCTGCTCGAAGCCAGCGGAATATCTGCTCTTCTAGTGTCTGAGCTATAATACCTCCAATGCCTAAAACAAATTGAATTAATCACGAAAAAATCATAGAACAGACTAAAAATTGTATTTTCTCGTCAGCAATAAACAAGCTGGAATGGGTGCAGTCGGATATAAATCCATTTTCAAAATAAGCAATGTTTTCAACGGCAAAAGAAAGGATTGGAATTTGGAAACAAGGTTTATGACATTATAGATAAGTCTAATGGTCATTATGGGGTACAAGACTTAGAGTAACATTGATTTCCTTCCCAGTTCAGTCAAAATAGGAGTCAGACAAAAAGTGTTTATGCAACTTTAAAAATCCAACATAGTTAAAAACTTCACGATTGTTTATAACATATGACCCTGTGCCTTATACATGCATTATTAAAACATGAAGAATGCTCTGTATCACCTACCAGGTACAGTATAGGCTCCAAGGGTTAGAATATTTGCATATGTAAGCCACACGCCATGATCACATTTTAGGTGACCCAACTCATGAGCTAAAACAGCCTATAAAAGGTAAATTGATGGTAAGTCATTAGTAATTTGAAACCAGAACAATGAAAATGATAAAAAAAAAAAAAAAAACGTCCTGACTAACAAATTGACAAGGAAAATGGAAGTGTAGAATGCATTTCTCATGAAATGATTCCTATATAAATATCCAACAGCATTCACTCTAAGTCTAACTCCTGGAAACTTATTGCTTGTTACCCATTAAGAATGGAGAGAATGCTTCTTGGATGCTATACTAGTTAAGAAATCAGTTAAAAAACTAAAAATAGAACTACAAAATAAATCAGAACCTGCAACTCCGCTCTCGTCAGAAGCTCCACTAGGCTAGTGTGAATAACAACGAACGGTTGTTTACCACTTATAGCTAATGTATATGCATTTGGCACAGGACTTTGACGAACATATAGATCAGGGGCACTGACATTTAATATTTCAGCAGCTTCTGCCATTAAGTCGTGAAGATCAGAAAGCTGACACCACAGCAATACAGCATTAGTTAACTCAATGAGTTGACATTAGGTGGCACAAACACAGTAGTATTTGAATTAATTGTTGGCATAATTTACAGGTGACATTATGTCATAGTGCTGAACTGAGTTGAAAAGGGAAATATGAAGTGAAGATACTTAATAGCTTTCATATGTTTAATCAGAGCCATGCCACCGTTACTAAGTTGGTAACAAGTATAGAGGAGCAAGTTAATTTACAGAAGCACATTTGTATATAGAAGTACTTATGGAATCATTGAAATCAATGGAATGGGATGAACACTAATTCTTTATTTTTGAGGAAATAACATGAAAGAATATGGACTTCACACGGATTATTTTAGAGCTAATGCCAACATGCATGCAACTTTTATAACAGAACGGTTATACATGGAGATATCTGAACTTGTTTATAAATATAAATTATTGCACATGTTATCATGACCATATTGTTACCCTTTTCATATTGTAAGTGTGGATTTTAACAAAACAAAACATAGCATTTCGAGTAAGAGGTGAGTACTATTCAATGCAGGTATATTTTTATCTATTATATTACATCTATACTATTTTTTTAATGACATCACACCTAGAAGATAATTTTATTTTACTGACTGTTAAGAATACCTGATTTTTGGAGACAAGAACAGATGTCCCTATATTCTCAAGGAACATAACCTGCTCAGTTACAGTTCCTGCGAATCAAAGGTAACCATGTCAGATACCAGTTTTCCAACTATGTATCTGAAAGTGTTCACTTACAACAACAACAATAGAAAATCAATTTTGGAATTAGTATCTGAAAGCATGCACTTGAGATGAACACGGCTTTTTAGAAATGGAAAAGAATCATCAGAGCACAACTTGTGCCTCCAAAACAACATGAAAGGGTGGCAGGTCATTGCTAGTAAAAATACAACAAAAACAATATTGTGCCTCCACCTAACTATTGTACATACAACTTGTGTGATCCATAAAGAAGTCTAAAATAGATATCATGCTATATTGGGCCTGCATTTGATTTCTAATATGCAAATCATAAACTCTATACAGTAATTGCAAGTTTTATTTTAAAAATATTGAATAGAAGTGTTACTTCCATGATAACAGAATCCCGATAAATACGCCTATATAAGAATTTGTCTCACCACATTGACTTCTAGACAGAAATTCCATTTAATCTGGAAGGATGGAAACTTATGATACTTCTACAATGTTTTCCTCGTGGATATATCTTTATTACTCATAAAACACAGTCAGCTAATCCATGTTGTAGCAGGTATCAATTTTCCATTAAATTAGTTTCGAGTTAGTTGCGCTGAAAACGGGTTGTCTCATTTAGTTATTGTTTAATATCACTCGTGTTTCCGAAATTGGTGGACTAAGTCAATAGAGGTTAGACGTCATTAACTACTATTAAATCAATGCTATTTTCTTTAATGTCATACGCACTACACCCCGCGTCGACAGTTTATTGGTCTAGCGCACTTAAATTGCAGAAGTAACAGTTCCAGTATCAGCTAGAACAAGAGAAA